AGCGATAAGGAGCCGGCAGAACGGATGGAGAAACTCTCTCTCTTCCACCGGCGAGCGCGGCCGGAGGAAAGGAAGAGAAGCCGGCAGTTAGATTATGAATTATGACGTGGTGCGAGCGAGAAAGACGAATCGAGTCGGTCGCGTAGGTCGTTATGAGACGCGGGCGGGGTAGCGGGGTGCCCGCCAGGAGAAGAAGGAGGCAAAAAGCGTGCGCAGCGTTACGCGGCACTACGGGGAAAAAAAGGCAGTCCCCGCTAAACGAGCGCACCCCCGACGATGACGACGATGACGACGACGACGACGACGACGACGACGACGACGAGTGACGGGGAGCGCGCTAACCGCGACGAATGACTTTCGAGACGGTGTGTACCTACCGAGCGAGCGCGAGGAATCCATGCCAAAAATCGGCGGATTGTATACGTGGATATATATCGTCGCCAATGGGGAGTCCGATGTTAAAGATCGTTTGCCATCGGTAACCGAGCGCGACCCGTTGCTGGCTGATCGTGCCAACTCGCGTTTCGCTCTCTCCTTGACCTTTTTGCTAACTCTAGCATATTAGGAATTTCTAGAGCCGGCTTCGTTGCTAGCGATGGCTGCGAGCCACCATCCTGAATTACTTTACCGTGCAATTATGCAATTACTTTTCTCCCGATGTGCTCGCATCATTATCATTAAAATTAATAATAAGTTATTTCCAAGCGCATCGCTATTACTGTTTCTGTTCTCAATACTTGTTGCTTTATCCGTTTCCTTCACTCGCAATCCTCTCGGACTCGTGTATCTTCATAGCTCATCAACCATCTCTCCGTGCGGTCCTTTTAATATATCGCCGATCCTGATCTTGTCGACACAACTGTAGCCTTCTTTTTCACCGAATCTCGGGAGGCTTGTCTCACATTTGAAACAAGCCGTATCTACCTATCCATCTAACTCGCCAGCGTCCGTCGTGCGCGCTCGGCTGCATTTCTACGTCGCTAACGTGCATTCCACGGTGCGCACCTCCGTCCTGCTCCATCGCCGTGGACTTATTCGACCGCGACGTTCGCCCGCGATGATCGTCCGCTGCTTCTTGCCCCGCGGCCCTGCCACTTTGCACTCCACCCCGTTTATTTCCGAGCTCGTTGAAAAGCCGCGTTCGCGTGTTCGCGAACGCTCATCCCGATCGGCACTGATACCGGAAAAAAGTCCGGAATTCTCAATTTAACGTTGGTTTCTCTATCTCTTCTTACAATTTTCTTAACGTTGAAACTTCCGACGTTTGTGACAAGCTTTGTGCGTGAAGCGGCGCCGATCGCGACTTCCGCTCAGCGCGAAAAGAACCTTCGGATGGCTGAATATGATCTCGAAGAGATCTCGACGACATTCGACGCGTCTCCTCACGCGAGAAGAAGAAAGGGGAAAAAAACGGCGACGGGCGAACGGAAGAAACTCGGAGGCGACGAGGAAACCGCAAAGAACGATAATGACGAGACGAGAGGACGCAGAAAGCGAAAGGCACAAAAGAAAGGACGACGTGGAAGAGAAACTGGCCCGAGGTAATTGCCAGGGCGTCTCTTCGCACCTCATCATCATCATCAACAGCCGCGTCGCTCTCGTCGTCGTCGTCGTCGTCGCGACCATCGAGGGTCTTCGGGACCACCCGTTAGAGTCTACTGATGCCGATTTCGTCTGCATCGGCAGACGAGACACATCGTTTCAAGAGTTTTGTCGAAATAATAACAAATCTGAACGATGTGTATGTAGACGGTGAGGCGGATCGCGAAGTTGATTTGATACTTGCGCGAAATACTTGAGATCAAATATCACGCTGGATAGATTAGACGGATGATTGCTAATTTTCGCCGTGCAATTGTAATTGCAGTGATAATTATCACATCTTACAAATATTTTAATCGTCTATATAAAAAATATCCAAGCTTTAATGTTTCTTCAACAATTAAAATATTGAAAGCTTTAAAACTTGAGGAAAATCGAAGTAAGTCTTATTTCGTTGAAATAATAAATTTAATTAATGCTCAAAGAAAGAATTATCTATAAAGACACAAAACAATCGTTTTAATAAAAAAAAAAAATGGAAACAATTCAGATTATACGATTCATAAATTCTTCAAGAATCGAAGCAAGAATTTCGCGTGACTCGAGCTCGAACGGCGCATTCTTCCTTTGAAAAAAGTCTGTCATCCCTCAAGGGAAGCGACCCGCAACCGCCGTGTTGCTCCTCGCAGCAAAAAGAAGAGAGATCGATTAAACGGGACTAGGATAAACATCGGAAATCGAGCCAGATAGCTGTCCGTTGTCGCCTCCGAGGATCATAGATCTTACCTACGTCGAGATTCGAAATTCCAGCCGGCAACCGGCGGAGGGGATTGAGTCCCCTCGACGGCGCGGCGACAACGACAGCGGCAAGCGGCGGCGGCGGTAGCGGCGGTGAAACGGGACGCGCCGCGACGCTCGTGGAATGCGAACGACGCTGACCTGGACCACACATGACGCCGCGGTAGGCTCTAAATGACTATCGTGAAATACGATAATGTCCGTCGTTCTCGCGCGTACCGAACACGAAATCTGAACTTGGACACGGAAAACGGCTCGTCGAGAGATCGCGACTTGCGGATTCTCCATGTTTTCCTTGCAGTCAACGTGACTGTTGCGCGTGTTGCGCCTTTTCTTAGTTTGCACTCTGTGTTTTAACACTGTGGCGAGTCTATTTGGAGACTTTCGCGTGCACAGTATACTTTCTCTAGTTTATTTAACGCGTCGATCACTTAAATTTTTAAAAAATATTTCAAACTGGAATGCATCGCGTGTATTTGAGCTCCACACCATTGCCAATTATTGTATCGAGAGCAAAAGTTTATAATTGTGGAACAAAGAAAAATATGTTTCTTTTTCATTCTTGATAAATTTCGAGATAGGAAGTTATTATTAAAAAAATTAAGATAAAGCAGCGAACATCGATAAATTCGAACGTTCGGTGAGCGATTAAAATTCAACAAAACAACAAAACATTGCACATAATCGTCGGGTGAAAAGAGATCTCGAATGATTTTCTCTTCCGCGCAGCGCGCACAGCAAGTATTTGTTAACGCCAACATATCCGCGAGGTGTTACGCCAGTGTCTTCGCGCGGTCGCTCGCTCTCGACAGAAACGATTATCGGGGATGAAAGAGAGCCGCGGCGAACGAAATGGAGGAACCAGTCCCGTGTGGTCGGGACACGGCGGAGAGACGCGGAGGACCGGAGGCGACCGGACGAACGACCGGACAGACGTACGGGCCCGGCTGCGAGCGAGTGCGAGACGGAGGGAAGCGAGAGCGAGCGAGCGAGTGAGCGAGCAAAAGGAAAGGTGCGAGTGTAACGGTAGCGAGAAACAAAGTGAAACTTACGAGCTGATTCTGATAGGCGGTGACAGCGGTGAATATGGCCTCCGGGAATACGAAGGTCTTGTGCGGCTCCTTCTCGAGGTCCACGATCGGCTTCGCCGTGCCCGAGTCCGGCCGCTTCACCAGGTGGATCCTCGGCTGGTACTTGTGCATGGAGTTCAGCACCAGCTGCAAATTGTCGCAAGTTTTTACTACCGGCCGACTGAGGGCGGGGGCAACGTTCGCAAATAAACGCGCGCGCCCGGTGAGCGCGCGATTTTCCAAATAGACGCTTCCCGTCCCCATTCGTTTGCACGAGGCTACCGTGTTTGCCGAGGCGAACAACGGGAGAAAAATTTACAATAACGGCTTCTACGATTCAACACTATTGACACATGCCTTTCGCCTGTCGAGTGTGAAATGCTACAAACGATCCGTTAAACATGTTTCGTCGATGAAACATTCTCAATTTTTATCCTTCGTTAAAATTTATCGCGGCAAAAAAAAAATGGAGAATATCCTGCAATCATTTTTACTTTGCATTAAAATTATTTCACAAATTATAATAAATTGCTATTTTTGATCGCATGCGGAATTATACACTGACAATCGTTTCTCTTCAAGTCATAATAAAAAAAAAACAGATATTACAAATAGATCTCAACGCAAAAATTGCGAGTGTACGATTTCGTGTAATTAAAGCCGAAGCGAGCTAAGTAAACGATCCAAATGGATAACGATATGGCCATCGTCACATGCGCGGACAGTTCTCCGTTTCTCTTTGTGCTTCGCGTTTCCATCCAGCCCTTACTTCAAAGAGGCCCATTAAGGACTCTCCGAATCGCTGACGGCTCATCTTTTTCCGAAGACGGAGACACGAGATTACATCGAGTTTCACGTTGCGTCGACTTTCGTCGTACGGGGATTTAAATCGGCGACGAAGCCGAGAGCGCGCGATAGCATTAACCACGACGGGAGGGGGGCGCCGCGGGATGAAAAAGCGTATGAATTAGGAGCACTTCGGGCCGGGCGCGCTCCCCGTTACCATTCAAAAGAATCACTTTGCCCGCGTCTGGCAGCGTGTAATACCTTGAATACAAAATGAGTACCGTGAAGAAGCGCTGCCCCGATCGGAGTTCCTATTTACGTCAGTCATCCGATGAATTAACGGCCCCGGCGAGAAAGAGGAGCCCTGACAATGAGACGGGCGGGGGCCGAAAGAAGAGGGCGAGGAGGGTGAAGACGCGGCTGAGATTCCCGTGTCTTATGACAAACGAGACAACGGACTGTCAAATTATCTCGCGAAGCGACTAAATCGCGCTACGATGAAATTCGTTTTATCAGCATCATTTTTCTTGTCTTTTTTCTTTCGAGGTGTGCGGTCGAAAGAACTTACGGCGATGATGATGCCTTTAATGATTTTACAAAGCGCTGTGAATTCGATAAATTATCTGCGGGTAATATAATAATTCTTCCCGAGTGTAAATATTTCGCAATGTTGTCACCACTTGAATTCTGCCGGTTGCGTATCCACCCAAACCGTGTTATATCGCGGGGAAAAAAAAAAACTTATACGGAGAGATATGTGTTTTGAATTGACGTAGGGTAAGATAAATGCGGCGCAAAAGTTCTCTAAGCGACGAGGCGAAATGCCATCGTGTTACGTTCCACTTTGCTGAACTTTGTTGAACCTAACAATCGATGCCGGTCGATTTATTAATGCAACAACCGGCGGACGCGGTAGGCGTGCACTCGCTGTCTTCGACGCCGACGATGTCGTACTTTCAGCCGCAGCTGCGCCGAGTAACGTATAAAAGTTTAATGCGCGGGCTGTCTCGAATCGGCCACGTCTGCCATCGCGAGAAAACGTGAAAAACTCTTCGCGAAATAGTTTGTAAGAAAATGTCGACGGTTCGATCGACTGATTCACGCGCGCGGCGATTAAAAATAACCGAGCGCGATGCTATCTTTTCGAGCGCAGATCTTTATTAAATTATGAAGCGTTGTTTCGCATATATATAGCAATTTTGGCAATCTTAATAATATCTCTTGGGTTTTATATTCTCCTATTCATTTTCTGTATCCACAAGATTTAAAAGCATTAATGTTTTTTTGACGAGTTTGGAGAAAGATCTTTTTATATGACAATAGAAAGATTATAAAAATGATTGAGAAATGAATCAGATAAGATAATCATTTTTATGTAAAATAATAATTGATGTTTTGTTAAAATTACATCGGATTGGGAACAAGGAAGCGTCTACCAGTTTTATTCGAATCATTAAGAACATCTGCATATTGAAAAATCGACACTAGTACGCGCGTGTACATTTCGCGCGATTAAATTGCTCTCATTCTGTCGTTATAACGGCTTAATAATAGAGATCGATTTTCTCGACGGTCTGACGAGTGTCACGAGAAATTAACCGGATGCCTCCGCGCGAGAAATAGATGGTCGAACGTGGTTTATTAATTAATTAATTCAATAAGAAACTTAACACATCCGTCGTAACGCAAATTCGAGTCTGCACTTCGTCGGAGTTGGCTTTTTATAGCGGACCGAGATTAAAACGCCGGAAGTACGTGGATGATTCATGCAAAAAAGATCAGCAAAGTTCTTATTCACAGGTTCGTTAAGATTGGAAATCTATAATAGCGCTACAAAATGTGCACATCTCCGTTATTTCTCTTATCATTGCTCATCTGACGTCTCCCGAAGATTAAACGGAAATGGCCGCGGGGATTCAATCATTATATCCGCGCAGAAACCCGCGGTTCAGCGATTGATCTTAATGAGAAGAGGTGAAGAAAGTGGGAAATGTTTCTCTCGAAAAAAGAGTACTCACGTGCCCGTGCCTGTCCATGTCGTTGTTGGTGAGCTTGACTTTCTCGAAGGAGACGACCTGCTTTCGGAGTTGCTCACCCGTGAAAGGCGAGTCCGGATGGACGTAGAGCCGGGCTGGCGCCGGCGGATCCGCCTTTCCGGCCACCAGCCAGCAGCTCCTGTGATATGCGTACCGATACCTCTTATTGTCGACCGGCACAATGTCCATCAGGACGGCGTATCGGCTGTCCGCCTTCAGCCCGTTGAATGAGACGCGGCACGTCGGGAACATCCGCCTGCGTAAACAAGAGAGAAATTTTAGTCAAAGGAGATCTCTAAGGATTCAATTGAACGGTCAAATATCTCTTCACTCTTCGTATGCATAATCGTGCTTTGTAGCGTCTTTTGCCACTGTTGTAGATATTTTTATGAAGGTCGATGAATTTCTCGTCCGTTTCCAGAGATGGAACTAGAACTTTCGATAAAATAGCATTGCCACTTTTTGCTGATCAATAAATCCAGGACAACTCGCGATAATTTTACGATTGACCCGCTCGCGATCGTCGAAGGTGCATGAGAAGAGAATGGAGAGGGCGATGGGCCCGGACTGGCGGTTAGCGGCGAGGGGACCGCGGGGACAGGGGATCTGGCGTGAATGTTTTGCCTCGGAGGCCAAACATTAATACCGTGTCGGGCCCCCCGCTGGTCGACCACTAAAACGCGGGGACACCCGCCGATCTTATCTACGTCTTCTCCTCGGTCCTTGTCGACTCGGTATGCATTCATCCCGCCAGCGCCACGAGTGTGAGTAATGCTTTTATTTATCAAGCCGTCTTTTGTTAATGAATTGAACGAGGGGGGGAGGGAGAAGGGTGGACCCTCACCCTCGCCCCCACTCCGCCTCTCGCCCTCGTTTCTGCCTGATTTCCAACCCTTCCCCCCCGTCCTTTCGCGCGACCGTTTCTCTCGTGACGCGAACACAAGACGCCTGCGACTTTTTTTCACCGCATTATCCGCCTAAATTCCCACCTAACCGTGAAGAAGGTGGCTTTATGCAGATCTGCAAACTTCGTTTCAGCCCCAACAGCGGTCCAATCTCTAAACATAACAGATGTATGCAATTTTTCTGCAACGTTTAGAACGCGCTCTCACATTTTGCGACGCAAACTGCCAAGTTTAAAAAAAAAAGTCCACGGAATTAGATAAAGGGATCGTGAGCGAGAAAGTCGAGTTTTGCCGCGGGAATCAGCGCAGATAACAAGAAGCGTAATGGAGGAAGAAAAGAGGGGCTGAAGAGCGAGCTCGGAAGGGAGTGCCTAGCGGCGGAGAGTCTAAGGGACGATAAAGGGCGGTAAGTTGACGGCTGAAGGGAGCGACGACCAGCGTCGCTCCAAGACGCGGATCTAATTACCGACGCACGAGTAGGCGCGCACCCGGCTGGAGGAACGAATCCCCTGCAACAGGGGGGGAAACCTACGACGAATAAAGAGCAGGGATGTTGCCCGTCGTGGCGGGCAATTAGGCGCGCGTCGGCCGCGTCGTCCCTTACATCTTTTCCGCCTCCTTTCTCTTCGCTTCCGGAGTTTCCCGCTTCGTCGAGAATTCTTCCGACGCCATTCGCCGCGACCACCCCCTCGCGCCCGTTCTTACACTGCCGTGCAAGACCGGCGCAGTGAGAAGTCTGCTATTTTATTTCGCTTACGGAAAAAAATGTTTTGCGGAACAATTAAAAACTGTGACATTGAGCGATGATATTAAAGCCGGCTGTACAATTTGTAGGAAAAGTTAAACGCGATTCTTTCGCAATGTGTTACTTAACATCGAATAATTTAATATTAAATTTTTAATTTTGCAAGCGCGTTACAGTAAACTCTGCGGCATAATGACCAAATATTTTCAAATTAATAATCGACTTTTTAATGAAGATAATTTCACTCGAGTAACCTGTCCCGTTATTTTGCTGGAAAAAAGCCTACTTTAACCAGTCACACATTGACGCGAAAGATTCTACTCCGTTGATAGTTAGCTTCGCGTCCAACGTCAGCGTTTTCGCTGTCGTTAAGTCGGAGATATATATTTGAGAAGGTGAAATATATATATCGCGAGTCGAGACGAACGCGAACATAAAACTTCTCGGTTGCCTTCCGCGAAGAGTGCAGAGGCAGCCCCGAGGTCCTTCCAGGACTTCTCCCCTCACAGTGTGATCCCACTCGAATCCTCACGCCTCCGGCCGCCACCGCTCGTCCCAAGGACCCTTATAAACTGGCATAAGCTCGCCCGGTTTCTACACCGGCCTGACTAATTGACTGACGGTCAATATAGCAATTTAACCCGCCGCTTGCCACCAGCTCGTTCCCCGGCTTTTTATTCTCTCCTTCTTCCTCCCCCCCCCTCCCCCCGATCCCTACCGTCCCTGCCCCCCTGCGCTCAGGTAGTCTTAACTCTTTCACAGTTTTGTATTACCGGGCAGTATATTTGTATTCTTATCTCTCCGTCGTTCTCTTCCTTTTTCCACTCTCTTTCTCTCTCTCTGTTTGTAGAATATGTTACATTATGTTACTTTCCACGCTTGAATTTGTTTGCTCCTGAAGAGAATGTTCACTTCCGGCTTCGTGATCTGTTCCGCATTTGCAGTGTTTTTGTTCGCGATCAGCACTCGCCGAATATATGATATAATGCCATCTTGTCGATACTCTCACCGCAACTCTCGCTAATTTTCTCCCGTTCCCCGCTCTTTAAGCTCAAATTATTGTACTTCTCATGAGCATCGTAAAAAGTAACGAACGCGCGATAAAAAGAACTTCTATTTCGATTATTTTCAAAACTGTAACAGAACAGTTTGAATATTTCTCAGGGATATTATTTGACATTTTTGCAAAGGATTAAAAAACTTTTAAATTCCAAATTGTTCTCCATGGAACTGTATTCCTTTTTCTTTGCGCGACAAAAAGATCGTAATTTCAATCCGATTAGAACGTCTATATTTCGCTATAATGTGTCAGGCAAATGATAGCTTGCTCAGAGTAACGACACCTCGGCCCTAACCCTAGCTCGTTTCTATCGCCCGTTTCGGTCCCCCTCGGGAATTTTCGTGGGTGTCATGTCATGACCTGTGGCAGAACGTGATTGAGTTTGCAGCGACATGGGCTCCGGGGCGACGGCGGTTTCGGGACGAGAGCCCGAAGGGGTAAGCGGCCGCGAGTAATGAGAAAGAGTCAATCGCCCGACGATTGTCCAGGAGAAACCCGGGTGCGATGCATCGGCGGTACATCGTCCCGAGGGAATCCCCCGGAGCATCTGGTTGCCTCGGGGATCGCGTTTATCCCCTCGAGAAACAGAGCAGGAATTGTTTCCGCCTGTGATTTTGCGATTAATCGCGCCGTGAAACACACGCGACACTTGTCTCTTTCGATTTTAGCATCATCTTAAAGTAAGAGTTTTACTTCTCCCTCTCGTCAATATTATATTAAATTTATTATTACTTATTACACACACGCCAGCCTCGATACTTGTAAAGATCGCTGCAAATTGCGTGTAACATTACGAATTACCGAACATATTACACAACATAAAGTTATGTAACGTGCAGCGTAAATGAAAAAAATGGCCTCGAAATTTGAATTACGATGCGATATTAAAACGCGATTTAACATCCATAATAATTAACAATCGCGAAACATCGCTGAACTTGAAAATCCAATAATCATCGTTCGCGCGATTACAATTTATCGACATCGGCCTGGAGTGTTGCGGCGTTATCTTCGTTACCGATAAATAAATCAGCGTGGCAATCCGAACATCGATCATTCTCCCAGGCGGCGGAAGTTGATAACTCGAAAATACTTTGACCTCACCTGCCGGTCTTTGTGATGATCATCTCCGTGCCGAGCTCGTTGAATTTATCCCAGAGATCTTTGGTCTCCAAGTGGCAAACAACGTGCCTCAACTCCTCGCAGTTCGAGCGCTCCTGAAGCAGAGGATTCACCACCGGCGAGACGCCCTTTCCGCTCGTGCTGCCGGTGTCGTCCGTTTCCGGTTCGTCCTCCGCATTGATCGTCTCCGCAATCGGCGGAGCACTGCGAACGACCCCGGAACCGCTGGCTTCCCTTTCTGCAATACATATATTTTCACAATTGTTCAATTGCACATTATATAAATATACATGGTAATATTTAAAATTTTATAAAAGCATAAAAATAGTAGTGGCGATTGCGGCGTGTTGGTTATGTGCGTATAAATCCACACAAAATTATAAATCTATAATCGTTGTCTCTCCGCAAGGCTTTGACAACTTGTGAGCATCTCTTGCCTAGAATATACAAGGTGTCTGATAATAATCACGACAACGCTCGTGAGCGAGTGGAGGAAAGAAAACCAAACAGAAAAGTTTCTTCAAATTTCACAATAATTATTGAGATATTAATTGAAAACGTTTGGCGCACGAGCGCGCGTCTTGGAATGTACGCTCTAGACGTGTCAGCAGCGAGTATCGCACTGCAACGAAAAGTTTAATCGTTCGTCGAAGTCAGAAGTAACAGCGAGCGGGTAGAAGCTTTACTTTTCGCATTTCAACACAATTGGCTATTTACATGTGCAATGCAATATTTGTCATTACTAATATTCGCGAACACAGTTATGACGATAATATTAATCAGACATTTATCTCAAACATGAAAACTTGTAAAAGAAGAATGCACATCTCGTTCCAACTTTAATTGGAAGCTTATTACACAGCATGATGATTATTGCAATATAAAGAGTGTGGTCGGATTTTAAACTTCAAGCATGTTAGTATCGGAACATATAAACAAGCACATACTCGAAAGACAAGAGCAGATATATGAGTAGAACAACACAACGCAAATACACAAAGAAAAACCAATGTGCCTGGGCCATCAACAAGTACAGAACGTTACAGAAAGACAATGTAAGCTTTATTAACATTATTATATTAGAAACTTTTATTAATATTTTTATATTATTCTACGTTGCCTCATTCGTCTGTTTTTTTTTCTTTGTTACTTAGTTATAAGCACTCTATCATATCATAAAACGGTCAGAATGTCTAAACAAGAATGAGAATTGAAATATTTTGATATATCGAGTTTTGAAGCAAAATGTAAAATATATCGAACTGATTTTATGTGCTGGAATACGAGATCTATGAATAATCATTTCACAGCAAAGCATCCAAATATAAAACAAAATAGACAAATGCACTGGACATGGCAGTATTTTAAGAAATTTGGCCATTCACGCGTGCGATGCAATATTTGTAAAAAAAAAGTATATTGGAACACAGTTGGAACGAAGACATTACAATATTATTTATCTCTGCATGATATATTTTCAGACAAAAATTACAAATATCGTTCTAGCTTTGTATGGAATCACGTTAAACAGTATAATAGTACGCTGCGTAACTATACCTGTTACGTGCAGTGTAATGAGTGTACTCATTATGAGACCATAGCGCTTAGATTAAGGAAGACTATTCTAAAGCGTCACATGCAAACAGAACATATGGATATATGGATAGCAGAAGACTATGCAAAGCACAATGCACAAGAAGAAACAAATATGTCTGGGCCATCGACAAGCATACACCGTTAAAGAAAAAAACAACGGTAAATTTTATTAATATTATTATATTAGAGAAATTTTTACTTTTCTTGAGTCATGCTTGATATACATTTATATTATGTGCATATTACAAGTCAAACGATTAATTTGTCTTCCTAATAAATATTTTAAAAATTCTTATAGGTTTATCCAGAACACATTTGTCAAAGACTCTACATTCACAAGTAGTGATGGGGTTTCAAAACTCTCATTTGTAAATTGTTAAGCCAACCAAGAATGACTGAAAATCAAAAATCTCAAAATCTTGCAATCACATTTTGAAGACTGTTTTAATTGAAAATTTTTTAAAATCTTGAATGTATATACATATATACATATATGTAAGTATATGCGTGTGTGTATATATGTATGTTATATTTAAAATCTTTTAGATTTAAAAAGTCTTAAATATTTTTAATAATCTAAGATTTTACAATCATAATAATACAAAAGTATTGAGACTTCTTGATTTTTAGCCATTAATTCAAAATGACTTGAGACGGTTTCTCCTACAATTCCATCACTACATTCAACCACGATCAGCAATAGCAACAATCTTGAGTTTGATGATAAATAATTCAAAGTATTTGATATATAATTATTACATATGTATATATGTATATATATGTATATATTCATATATATTTATATACATTTATGTACATATTTATATAATTTTATACAGAAATCGATTTAACGAACAAAACATTTTTTTGTAAATATTTGATTCTTATTTTATTTTATTATTTTTTTATACTTATGTATCTTCATTGTTTAACGTGCTTTATGTAATTTGAATTTAACATAATTTCTATGGAGATAATGCCCAAAATGTAATATACAAATTAAAATAAGTTACTTTAGATTTCTAGTTAGTACTGATTCAAATTATTGCATGACTAATTGTTTATAACAAATTTAGTGCAAAATTGACACATTATCATTGATAAAATGGCATTTTAAATATATTATGATTTATTCAATCCAAATTATACTAATTTACTATTAAGTTCCACAAATTTATTCCGTATTTCCTTTTTCTTATCATTCTAATAATATCAGAAAATATCCAATTTGATAGTTGAAGATTATATTTGATAAGTAGAAAATACATAATACAAAAATTATAGCAACGTATTTTTATAATTGTTACTATATTAATGCACTTGCATTCATGTTTTTCTTTTATTTTATTATTGCCTATTTTGTTAAAATATTTAATATATCATTTCTCACTTATTCTCACGCAATTTATGTATAAATACTATATATTTCATCTGGACTTTTTTCAAACCTGATGTTTTGCTATCATTTTTCCCACCGTGCGCATATTTCTGTTTTGCTTACTAACAAGGGAACATCGCAAACCCATAAATTCTGATCTCAATAAAATTGCGCACACATGTAGATGGGATAAATACATGAGTATAAAAATTTTCAGTTATGTCAAAAATGATTTTAAGAGGTAAAATCGCCCCTCAAAGATTCAAAGGCTTTTAATTTTTTTTCAGTATATTTCGTAAATTATTTAAGATATCAAGAAATGTATTATATAAAAGTTGTACAGTTAAAACACCTCTATTTATCGCGATCATTAACAATAACCGAAAATGACCGCGAGAGGGAAACCGCTTCCGGCACGGACCGATATAAAAATCGAGGATCGCTGAAGCGTAGTAAAAAACTTGACTTCGAGAGGAGGCGATCGAGCTAAGGATCGGCATTTATCACCGACGTTGTCATTGACGCTCGCTTTTTATCCGTTCGGTCGTAGTCGTTGAAATAGCAACCGGGAACAGGAGTTAACGTGAATGAACAGCAGCTGATGAATATTTAAGAGTTGTTCAATTACAGTTATATCTCGCCGCCGTCTCGCGACGCGCAACAACGACGTCGTTCCTGTTGCGAGCCGCGCACTTTCGCCGCTCGCGCGGCGAGCGAAATTAAAAACAAGGCTCGCTCGTCGATTCGTAATTTACGGGAGGCCTCCCATTACCGCAAATTGTTATTAATTTCATCCGAGGGAGCCGACGCGCGCACATTGCGATAACTCGATTCTAAATTACGTACGACAGGCCTCGGCACCGATTAATATCTCCATGCGCTTTCATTGCGCCGCGCATCCTACTTGCCCGAACCGTGTGCAAAGTTTCGCGACTTTTTCCAAGAAATGCGCGTTTACATATGCACAAACATTAATGAAAAATCGTTCTCATGACGCGCGATTATTTACCGCTCGTTCGACGACTCTATTAAAGGAGTAATGAAGGAAGGGGAGTACTTGATCGAAATTAAGATTTTAATCGGACCTTAAATGAATGTTAAAAAGCGAAAGATGATGGACAGAAAGGAACGTTAAAATATTGTCTCTCGAGTACGTGAATCGTGCCATAAAAGTCGCATCAGATTAAAAAAAATCATTATTAATCTACGGGCGATTATTAATCTACGTTAAAAAATTTATGATGACATAAATAGTCAATGTTTTATCTACTTTAATTAATCTAGTTTCACTTGTTCATTTTTGCTTTCGAATACATCAAGATATTATCGAATAATTGTTATTCTATAGTGCGGAAATAAGATTGTATCGCGAATGCGTCAAGTGCACTTGAAAGATACAGGAATAGAGAGATGCGAGATTCTAAGAAACTCACGTTGATCAAAATGACTACTGCTACTACTTGATTAATGCCTCGCGTTAACTCGAAGACGCCGTGTTATTGAGGCGTTTTATTTCGCGCGGATCGCGTTAATCTCTCGCGTTTATGCGCGCAAATGTCTTCGTTTACATGCACACCGACACGACACAACGTTATATACACTTCCGCGCCGTGCAATCACATCGTTGTAAATCTAAGCATAATCCATTTGGTATCCAGTTATCGATGATAATATATCGCCGGCAAAATAAACGACGGTCGCGCGATAAGCGAGCTCCTTCGACAGTTCGGCAACGCAATCGATTGTTGTAAATAACGAACATTCTGCGCGCGGGAAAAGCCTCACAATTATATTACGCTGATTACTTCCGATTTTAATGACGCAAGGGAAAAGTAATCGGCTGATAAAGCGATGTATTGCCGTCGACGGTGATTAACTGTTGCGCCACGACGCTCAGGCACAGGAAGCCGAGCTCTCTTTTTCAAGATGCATGCAAATTTCTACAGTGCGTGATTACACATACGTCGCGAAGATTAAGTACGATGTAATTCTTCGGATGGTGCGCAAAAGGTTTATCTTATTTTAACGACTTTCGTCCGTCGTTGAAAAATAAAATGAATCGTAAAAAGATAAACTAAATTAAGATAATTAAAATTAAATTGATTGTATTTAAAGAACAAACTCTTTACGCAATCCGCGCGAACGAATCACATAAACGTGATTTATTCACGCTGCGTTGATGGGATACATTCTCCAGTGAGTTCAGAGGCGATTTTTCGAATCCTTCCGATAAGAGTATCCGCGCGCGGCTGAGATCAGACTTATTTATACCTAATGGGAACACGAGAGACCGGCGTCTGCCATTTTAACAGGTCCCTTCTGCGTAATTCGCGGGCACGTATTTACCACGTGCGCCTTCACACGAGCGCGTTTTCATAGTAAGAGCCGCCGTTGTACTCGGGGAAACCGTAATAAACTTTGTAATGGGCGGTTACGAGGCACCGACTTGGCCAATACGTCAGGTGCTGGCCATCAATTTGGCACATTGATGCCGCGCGCGCGCGCGAGGAATTAATTGTCCACAAGGCAGAATTCGGTATCGGTATTATGGCTTCGTCAGTTTCCCGATTTCTCTCCGCAAAAAATCCGCAACCGATCTTGCAAACACATTCAGTTTTTTTGTCGGAGAGCGAATAGAAGTAAGAGGTGTTGAAAGTTGCAAAAAATTATAGAGAGGAAAATGATACTCATATTGCATCGGTATGTGCGAAACAAAATTGATATAATATTCAAGTTGTTCACTTTAGATTTGCGCGAACAATCTAATAAATTTTAGGAAATTTGAAAAAGTTATACTCTACAAATTATTCAATAAATATTTTTCCAAACATTTACTCTGAATTTATCGCCTAGAGAATACGTAAAGAAGTAAAATTTCGAAAATGATATAAGACAATCGGAAAGTAAAATCAGGGCGCGTATGTGCGAAATTAACATAAATTGCTGCCGTTCACGAAATTTACGAGAACAATAATTCCATTGGATTCTAATATTTCGCGAATAATGATACAGTAATTTTAATATTACTTTGCTCTTATTCGCGCGCACATTATATACTTACACGGTGAAAAGGTAATAAATTTAATCGAAATATCCACGTCGCAATCTTTTAATCTTTTTCCAGGGCGAAAGCTTACTGGTACACGCGCACAAACGAGGAAGTAACGCGGTGATAAATAAAGTCTCTTGGTTTACCTTAAGTTACTGGAGGTTATAATTTCACGAACCGCCGCTCTTGGCCGGCATCACGCTAATAACGCTAAACTAAAGCAAGCCTCGTCGTAAGTGGATAATTATCCTTTTTCCAGGCGCTACCGCGCGCTCATTACATCGCTCGCCGGCGTGTATGACCGTTGTGTGCCGTAATCGAGGAAATTAGTCATTTTGCATTTAATTACGTCTAAACCGCGGCGAGATGAGAGGAACGATCCTCGAAAGTTCTGCGATATTATTGATCAGCCGCGGCAGTGATTGTCGGTAATACGTGTCACGAATTATCAGCCAACTCAATATGTAAATTGATCTCACGTCCTTCGACGGTTACTTCACCTTATATTTACACCACGCATATTTTGCGGTAAAAAAAAAAGAAACGTGGCTATTTGATTGCCGGCTCTCGACTATCCACCCTGAATGCAATTTTCACGCAGAAAACATAAAATTGATATAAAGTTTAAAAGAAGGAATATAAAAGTAAATTCTTCCCGCTGCACAATGTTCCAAATTCTTTAACTAGGCGATAAATTCAGAGTAAATGTTTGGAAAAATATTTATTGAATAATTTGTAGAGTATAACTTTTTCAAATTTCCTAAAATTTATTAGATCGTTCGCGCAAATCCAAAGTGAACAGCTTGAATATTATATCAATTTTGTTTCGCACATACCGAAGCAATATGAGTATCATTTTCCTCTCCATAATTTTTTGCAACTTTCAACACCTCTTATTCCTATTCGCTTGTTTAGATAAATAGACCGCTTTGCGAAAGGTTAAAGGGAGTTTGATCCGATAGACCGGGCGATTGTTTGCGCAATAGTAAACTCCTTGGCGGC